TATCCGTGTGGTGATGGATTAAGAACTGGTGGTGACACTCCGCCACCACCTCTATTTCACCCGTGATTGTCGGAAGAGACAACTAAGGGAACAAACAGAAGCAACAACAGCACTGCAAAGAGAAGGAAAACTTGACACAAATCCTATACCAACACATCTGGTTAGCGTGGTATAGTAGACCAAAACCTCCTTTCTAAGGAGAGGATTATTAAAGGCTGTTGATGATGATATACATATATTCACTACCATCTTTTATACTCGGAGGGGTAGACAAGTGTAAACAAATAACACACACATTTTGTTTATATGTTTATTAATAAAGTATTTACTTGGTACCAACGGTTGAACAAAATGCACAACCCGTCACCGCAATCATTGATGTAATCGTATCGGTAAATGGTAAGTCCCGATTTATGAGATCTAATATTCGATTAAATCCCAATTCAGCCCGCGGCTAGCAAATAATTTCATCGATTATTACATCTTATAAATCGAGATCTTACTGATGTGAAATAAGTGACATTCGGTTTTGTCAAATGTAGACAACGTAACACAGGTGAGTCTATGCATCTGTTTGAGCAAAGAGTTTGCGAGAATTGAATTGACCTTCATACAATTCAATAAAACAAAATACTCGAAACAATTGAAATACGACTTTATTTTGATCCCTAGTTTTATCTTTGACGACTGGATGGCATAGTGGTTTGTGTAACGGACTGCTATTCCAAAGGTCGCGGGTTCGATTCCCGCTCAAGTCAAACATTTGTGTGCATGAACATTTAATGTTTGATTTGGAAGTTAGAATTTAGGTTAGTTTAGAATTTAGGTTATTTAATTTACAAAAGATAAGATTTAGATTTAAATCTACTTCTTACACCAAAACTAATTGTTAAATGACCGTCTTAAACCGCGAATTTATTTTGACAATCAGTACCTAAAACATGTTCAGATTTCATTTAAAATTATACACAACTGTGAATAACGTCACATTATTTGACGTTTATTACAAAGTTTTAATTTAATATTTAAAAATGTGACATTTCTAATCGAAGCCGAATAATTGTCTTATTAGTACTCTCTGTGAGTGGAGTGAACATGTAAATGTGTGTGTTCTAACACTCCATAAGGCTAAATTTTAATATACATTTGTATAGCAAAGGTTGTCTGTGTGAAATTTTCTCATTATTTCAACTTGAAATAATCAGTCCCTGAGAAACACATAGGCATTTGTTTGGTTATTACACGGGTATGAATATCTCAGAACTGTATCTGTATTTAGACAAAAGTTATTGAAAGGTGAATATGTATATATTAATTCATATTAAATAAGTCTTGAAAGTCGTCTGTCAGTCAAAGAAACAAGCTTGTTTTTAAACGGAAAAACTTTTTTTGTGTTGTGTTACACGTGTTATATTTTGTCTGTATTCAAAAATTTCTTTCTTTCTTTTTTTTCTAGGATTTACAGAGCAAGTCTTTAGCTTGGATCTAGATATCGCTTAGTAATATGTTGGGGTAAAGAAAACAAATAGGGGGAAGAAATGGTACTAGAACAATAAGATAGATAATAAGAATACCGTATGTTGCGGATGGGTAAACGGGACTTAACCTGTAGTAACTCGGGAGCTCGCGAATCCGTTCTGTGATTATAGACGCCTATTAAAAGTCTTAGTATATTACTAGCTTTTTGCCCCCGGCTCTGCAGGCGTATTTGTCGGTTATCGCGGTAAAAATTGGCCTATGGGACCCGCTGATAATGTAGCTTTCCATTGGTGAAAGAATCTTTCAAATCGTTTTAGTGGTGAAAGCGTAACAAACAAACAAACTCACTTTCATATTTGTAACATAAATTTTAATATAGATTTATGTAGGCATTTCATATTGAATATTATCATACACCCTTGTTAAAATTCTGTTTAAAATTACAACGATTTCTTGTCAAGCCGACAGTGATTACAATGGATAAAGAAAGATAAACAGTCTTGTCGGATGAGAGCTTCGATTCGCACGGTAGAACTGCACGAAAAAAGTAAACCAAACTATGTTTTCATTGTCACGTATACCAATCAAAGGCATGTCTCATATTACATCACACGAACAATCTCTTTGTAATTGACAATCATTTAAAGATAGAACAGGCCGTTCAGGAGCTGCAGTCTCGTTTTTAAGGTGATTTTGAATCGAGACGTTGAAATCGGTACTCAATTGTGGTAATAATTTATAGACCAGTTAAGAGTCTTGTCTTTGTAGCATCTCGCAATGGGACGTGCAGTATTAAGGCCGACGCAAAGTAATATTGGAATAAGCGCAGGAAGAAGAAAATGATTAGATTGGTGTACCTGATATTGCAATCCAGTTGCAGAGATCTCTGCAACTGATTACGTGAGAAAGTGTAGGAATGTCTTAGGCAGGAAAGGGATATTACTTATAAAGGTGGATTGGTGAATGTTAGCAATAGTAGTTCAAGTCATTTTATCAAGTAACTATTAATACATGTTTAGGAACAGCTGATGTTTTGTGAAGTGGGTGAAATACCCAGTTCAGTAGAAGACCCATGCTGCTCCGCATTATTTTATAGAAAATTTAAGTTGAATATTTATACCTAGTTTCCCTCTAACTCAACTAGTTTCAGTGGAAAATATTTCAACTGGAACAGCGCTTTTCAGCGTTATTAAACAGAAGCAGACTGTTTGTACCGATTAGAACTGCAGGTATAGAGAAAGACAACCATGAAAACATAAGAAGAGAGTATACCTACAGGACCAAATTTTGTTTTAATATAACTTGACTGCGGTGAAAGTCAGACGAATCTGTGTATCTTTAAACTGAAAGAAATAATATTCGAATCATCACAATCAACAGCCTTTAGTAGTTCACTGCTGAACATAGGCCTCTCCTTAGAAAGGATCTTTTGGCCTACTATACCAAGCTGGCCAGACGGGTTGGTATAGATTTCTTTCGAGTTTTCCTTCTCTTTACAGGGTTGTTGTCTTGCGTAGTTTGCTCCCGTATTCGACTCTTACAACACCCACTTGATGAATAGTAATGATAAATATAGAATAGAAATCGATGAATAATAATATCCGAAGGTTTTTTATTTTGATGTTGGATGGATATCGGGGACCACGGCCTGGCAAATAAAGTTAGGAAGGGGTAAGACAAAAGGTGATAGTGATGATAGAGATCAGGATCGAAACCAGGACCAACTATATATGTCTACATCTATGTGCGTCAATGTTAACGAAAATTGTTTAAGATCATTTCGATTTATGCGAAGTCACTCAAGCTGACTCTGGCTTGAAAAGTGGTAGATCATGGATGATTCAAACAAGTATGAGTACATTATGTTTTGTCTGTCTTATTATGTCACAAGAGAGATAAATCTTAATCACAATAAGAAATTAATTAATTAACTAATTGAATAAGAAAGTTATTAATTAAAGAAGATAACATAAAATAAATTCATATTTTGATAATTACATTTTCTTAAAGATATATGTTTTTATAATTGAATAGTTTTTTTTTTGATCTTAGTTTTAGATAGATAGGTACTCTTTATTGCACACCTTGGATAGAAAAAAAAAAGAAGAAAAAAAAACATAAAATTAAAAAAAAACAGTGGTACAATGGGCGCCCTTATCGCAGTCTGCGATCTCTTACAGGCAACTTTTAGATATTTATTATGATCATCACTTACCCTATATACATATATATTTCGTATCTTTATATTTATATGGGTAACACAGGCAGACTTTGAAGAAAAGACGAGTATAAGAAAACTGTTAGCTGATATGGTAGTCGGCTCGCTATAATATTTTTCCTCTACATAAATTTGCTACGTGAAATCAAGGAAGATATTAAGGTTGAACCGAGATAACGGTAATTGAAAAAAATAGTATTATTAATGGAACAATAAGGTAGCAAACAAACTTACAACTTGCCCACAACACCGATGGAAAAGCAAGCACTAGTCCTTCAATATATCAGTTAAAATTTAAGATAATCTAATCAGTTATGTAATAATATTTTATCGATTTATATTTGAAATTATCAAATCATTTCTCAGTTGCCAAAGTTCATAATTAGCAACAGTCTTGATTTGATTGCTAGGGTTTGAGATTGTAGAGTCTTTTTCGAAGTTCTCATGAGGAAGCATGTCATCATCATCAACAGTATTTAATAGTCCACTGCTGGATGTAGGCCTCTCCTTAGAAAACAGGCTTTGGCTACTATACCACACTGGCCAGAAGGGTTTTTGTTCTTCCCAGTGCTGTTGTCCTGCATAGTTAGCTCCCTTAGTCGGCGCTTACGACACCTACTGGAGGCTCCGTATTCTTAATCCGTCACCACACAGTTGAGGAATATAAATTTGTGTCAGTTCCAACTACAGAATAACTATAGTATGGAACTCTTTTTCTCTTTCGGTTTTGCCAGTGTATTATTAAAAAAAAATGAGTTTAAGCTTTTGCACTTTAAAGAAATATTCAACAATCAATTCAATTCAAACTCTTTTAGAAGTTAATATTATTAAGGAATATCTAATATATTTAGTTGGACTATTGTTCAAATTGTTGAAATAATAATTGAATATATTGTCAGTGTAGTTTCTGACTAAGGTGTATGTCTGGTATGTGATATTGACTTAAGAAAGAGAACCCGCTCCGCAAAAGTATGTTTTTAAGTTAATTAAAAATTGATTAAGCGAATATAACATTTTTCTCGTAAAATAAAAAAGGAAAGAAAATAAAGAAGAATTCTTGTGGTCCTTCAGTAAATAGGAATATATGTAGATACAATATTTATTTGCATGTTGAGTATCTCGTATATTTTTAATAAAATAAATACTACTATCAGAACAGACTCTATCACTTTACAATAATTAATGAAACTATTAAGCATAAAATATAAATGTAACTAAATAAAAGAACTAATAAATTGGTATTTAATAATTAAAATTTAAACTTACCTTCAATTCAATCACAGCATAACAAATATCAAACAAAATGGTAACTCGTCACAAAGTAACTTGCCGTCTCCTGTTAGCCATATGAGGTTGTTTACTTGATGACACTTGGAGTTGGTGTGATGTGCTCGCCGCAGACCCTCAGCTTATATACCGTAGTGCCAGGTCTGTTGACGCGCAACTCCGTGGACCGTCCGCAGAAAAGTGAGCCGCGCCAACTATTCCGTGATATGTGTGGCATTTGCTTGTTTTAAAACTAAGTTTACTGTTTTCTTCGGTTCGTGGTAGAATGTGCGAAGTATCGTCATCATCAGTTCTAAATCATTTACGTGGGAACTCGAAGGCTAGGTGGGTATTTCAAGGATGAACCTAGTTTTTTTTTTATGAATATAAATAAATTTTGATGGAGTCGTAATCCTGACTGCTATGACAAATAATCGTGTTATGAACTCGACCAATTGTTCTGTGACTGGGTTTAATTTATTTAAAGTAGAATAGAATAGAATATGCTTTATTGTACACCAATTACAGTAAATTGGTTAAATATTACAGATGGATATGTAAGGCGGCCTTATTGCTAATAGCAATCTCTTACAGGCAACCTTTGGATGGACAAATTAGCAGTAGATAAGAAGAAACAGTGGGTAGTCTAGGTGTATTGAAGCTAACGTAGTGTAAAAATAAATAAATATACATTATATAATTATACATACATACAAATACATATATATATATTAAAAAAAAAAAATGTATTTGTTTAGAAAAATATATGTATTTAGAAAAATATAAGCACGATTATCAGCAGTCTGGTTACAATAGCACAGGATCTGGCTAATTTCGGATCAGACGCCCGTGTGAGGGATGTGTCAAGTTGATTTTATTTTCACAAGTTTTTGATGGGGATGTAGGCAGATATCGAACCATCTAAAATCATCATCATAGTATGGTTAAATCTTTATATATATAATTCTTCTGTGAGTGTGTATGTCACTGAACTTCTCTCAAACGACTTTACCGATTTTGATGAAATTTTTTGTGTGTGTTCAAGGGGATCTGGGAATGGTTTAGATTCACAATTTTGTCCGCTGGACAATGTTTTTTTAATTAATTTTTAATTTATTAGTAGTTGTTGATTTTCGAATGTTTTACATTGGATCAGACAGACGGCGCTACCTTCGCAGTGTCAAATTTGACAGGACAACGTCTGTCGGGTCCGCTAGTTAAATATATTACTTAAGTGATATAATTACGTATGCGAAGAACCGTTTGTACAAGCATTTGTTGATACTTGGTTGGTGTTCTATATTCGAGTTCTCGTCCAAACCTATAAAGAAGTCTCTCTGATCTAGAGCGAAACACGTCCCATCTGACGTTTCGTCTCTTTCTGTTTCTAAACAAAAGCCTCTCTCGGTAACTTTCACATGAACAGTCTAGCGGCTAATCAAACATTGAATTTTTTCTCATATCTGTATAAAAATGCTGTTTGTTAGTAATCACATCGCGTGAGAACGGCTCTTAGGTTTAGCTTATTATTATTTTCTTAAATATTTGCAATATACGGACGGAGATACCGTACAGCTTGTTCATTTAATAGTACATATGAAATGTTGAATTCTAATTACTGTTGTAACATATGAGAATAAAATGCAACACGCAAATTTGTGAACGACCACTAGTTAGGCTAGCTGTATATAAATTATGGTTAAGAAAAACAAAAACAACACGCTTTATAGCAAACCAAATAAATTAATTTCAATTGTAAGAAATTTACTCCAGGAATCAGATTTTTTTTTTGCCTTTTATATGATTGTAAAAATAAGGAACAATGATACATACATATGTTTTACATTTATTTGTATAGTATTTTAATTTCTTTTTTTTTCTTCGCTTCTGTATATAACAAAAAAGTTAACCGTGGAAGCCAAGCCTGAGTCGCGGGTTACATACTTCTCTGTATCAGCTTGCTTCTTGGGATATACCTGGGAACCCCGTAATAGACCCACTTGTGACAGAACACGGTGAGATTTTAGCCAATGTCGATTTGATTTTAACTTACACTTAATCGAAGTAATAAATGATGAATGAAATTACCTGTATGCAGTCGTTAGATTCTCGACTCCTGAGCCAGTATGTGGTGGTTCCACTTAGAACCCCATACTGACGATCGGCCTTAGTGGATATGTCTCGAACCATGAGATTTCATCGCCCCCCTCGATTCCCCTCAAATCCATGCTACCTATGCATGTCATATCCCGGAATTTTATGTGTCCCAGACAACGTGTTTATAAAGTGCCGGCACTGATTGCGTAGTAGTTTAAACGGTCGCCACGCCGCTTTCTACTTGTACGTTTAAACCCCGCATGGGACGACACTTTGTGTAATTCACAAATTGTTGTTCTGTGTCTGGGTGTTCTTTGTGTCCGTTTCATGTATGTTTGTAAAGTCCCCCGCGACACAGGATATATTCCTAATGCGGGAGTTGTCTTTTTAACAGAAAAAAAAAAGATCGTTTCAGTAGTTTTGGTTTAACAAACAATCTCAATTATATACCTACGCATTTATAATAATTATGAATTAGGATTTAAAAGTATAAATGAGAGCTTAAACAAGTTACAAAGCAGACTTAACTTTTCACACGTACTGGGCCTCATAATGTCGCTAAATATTTTTTTTTTTTAATCTTTATTTTGGCGCCAAAGATCCAAAGATTAAATATTACAGGATTGTGTTTTTACCTGTGTATGTTAAGGAGTTTCAGTAGCTGTTTGATCTGTCATCATTCATCGCAATAAAAAAACTGTTTACGGATTAAAGATAACCGTAATAAATCCGTAATTAACCGTAATAAATTAAGATTTTGATAAATACATTTTTGAATCTTAATCCAAAATATATACCTCAGTAAGAAAGATTATAAAATTTGAAAATCTGACTGATTTATTACAACTGTGGCAATTTTCACATATTATACTTAAACAAAAAAACATACTTGAGGCTCGGTCCATAAAACCGGTTTTAGTGTCTCTTTGCTTTTCACAGAGTGAGAGAGGTTAATAAACCCCTCCCCCCCCCCCCGACTCACTCACAGTTAAGCATTCAAAGGGCAACAACGCACTTGTGGTTCCTCTGTGACTAACTGCCTGTTAATGACTGCCTCGGTGGTGCAGTGGTAGCATATGCGGCTGCTGTGTTGAGATCTCGGATTCGATTCCCAGGTCGGACCAAATATTTGTATGATCTGCAAATATTTGTTTCGGAGTTTTGGTATTTTCTGTGTATAATATATATGTACATATTTACAAAAAAAAAAAAAGAATTCTATCAGTCAATCTAGCTTTCATAGTACAAGCTCTGCTTAGTTTGAAACTAGATGGCGTTGCGTCAGATGTCCGTAATATTATTACTATATTATTATTCTTAGTTGCGGTGTCCAGAGGCGGTGATAGTCACTTACCATCAAGTGACTCGTATGCTCGTTTGCCCCCTATGATTTAAAAAATAAACCAATCCTGAAAAATATTCTTTGATAACATCTCTTTTTTTTTTTTTAAGACGGTAATCAACATCCGCTGAGTGCCGCCCGTTCACCAACTACCGATATCCATATTACCCGTTTCAGGACCTCTGTGTGAATAACAGGTAAGTTCCTTTTTTAAATGAAAGTAATTTAATGATTTCTGTTTTTTTTTTTATCCAAATGATACGAGTCTTTTTTTTAACCGTGCAGTGCACAAAAAGGCTGGCTCGTCCGGAATGATAACACGGCCTCACAGAAAACCGATGTTGATCTAACCTTTCGTTGATTAATATGGTATTGCATACCCACTTTTTGTTTTTAAAATTTCGCTACTTGTAAATTAAAACTCGTTTGTTATTGAGTGAAGTCAGCAAAAAATAATTAATTTAAATTATGTAAAACCTACCGTTATTTTTAATTTCTCTTTAATTTATTTATTCAAACATTAAAATCAAATAACTTTGTCAAGTCAGATCAGTATATTTTTATTAAAAGTTAAAACGATACACGGTGTACCTTTTTGTATGTGTTATGTATGTACTAAGTATGGGACGTCAGCTAGGTATAGCTAACTAGCTGACGTCCCATACTTAGTACATTATACAAATTCAAATCAAGGGTTGGTCATATCATTTACTTTTAACGTTGATTAAAAGTTATTAAAAAAATAAAATGCTATGGAGGACAACTTGTGCTGTACTTTAAGATATTACATTTAAAGATTCAGGTGAAATTATTTATTTTAAACAAAGGAATTCTTTGACTTAAGAGTCAACTGCTGTAATTATAACAACTCATACTAAAGAAAAATCTTTATTCATAAATTGTTGTGGAACGAAATAAAATTTCAAGGACGTCCTCTTATAATACCTGGTCACTAACCCTCGCGTTTTTAACACACTTCAAAAAAGAAGTTTTGGTGGTTTTAGGGTTCCGTAGCCAAAATTGCTTCCGTTATTATATCTATTTTGGCATAACTCCGTCATGTATAAACAGATTTGGTCAATTTTTTTTCATTTTGTAATTTATGTAGGATTATTGCCCGTTTGGTCCAATTTAAATTCAAAGAAAAATATACCAATTTTACTTTAAATTTTTTATATAAATATATTCCTTAATTTTACCCCTAAAGGGTGTAAAATTAAGGGATGAAGAATACAGTTTACAGACGCTGGTAATACTTTTTTGCTTTTGCCCGTAGCTCCATCCGCGTGTTTGTCCGTTATCACGGTTAGCCTACATCCTCCCTCATGAATCGAACTATCTTCATGCCAATTTTCATTAACATGAGTTCAGTGGTTTAGCCAGCGTAACTGACAGACAGACAAAGTTAATTTCGCATTTGTAATATTAGTAGGGATAAAGTTACTGGTGGACTATAGATCGCTCAGATGACCTTTTTTCTGAAAAGGTAGTTAGTAAAATGGACCGTGGAAAATATGGCTCAAAATGGTGTAAAGTATTCCTCCAGATAGAGATAGGTATCCTAAGTATTGGACGAGATAATACCAATATATTATCTCCAAACTCAATTCTCTAAATTTTAAATTTAGCTCTTACACCAAATTGAATCTTAATTATTGTTTTCTTTTTTCCTTTTGATCTCTACATTAAAATTACTTGTTACTGAATTATAATTCTAAATGTCATGAATATGAATTAAATTAAAAAAAACAGTTGCTTTTCAGAAGTGCCGACATTGTTTTTTTGATTATAACAGAAATATTTTTTGTTTTTTTTGTCCGATTTCAAAATTTGTGACATGAATATATATCTATGTTGTACGTATATACGCTATATATTTTTATATTATATATAGTTATATTATCAATGTATTTCAACCCAAACTCAACTCTCGTGTAAAAGGGGCCAATAAATGTAGTTACTTATATACAGAGGTGTCAGTATGTAACAGTTATTTTTTTTAGTATATTTGTATTGCGTACGGACTTGTAAAAAGCGAAATCTATTTCCCCCCGTCGCATTTGTTGATTTATCTAAAGTAGTTTGTAGCTATAGTATTGTTGTTCTTCGTTCGCCATCGGACCACTAGATGGCGTTTGTTTTATAGATAAGTCATTTTATTAATTTATCATGATAAATTGTAGTGGTGTTATAAGTGACCTGTTATGGTAGGAAGCGAGTTACTTTTGATTTAGTTCGTGTTAATCTAGATAATAATTTGAGTGACAGTTTAGAATATTAATAAGTAGGGATTCTTTCTGGAAACTTCACAAACCGAACATATATAAGTCCGGCTTTCAGCCACAGGGGACACTCTGCTAACTCTTGTCTTCCAATCTTAAATAGTGTTTTGTTTGTCTGGTGATTTTATTTTCGTAATATTTTATCTGTTCAAAGTACCCACGCAAGTGGTGAGTATATTCTTAATTTTTCTTGTACCTATTTGTTTCTGGAACCTGATCGATAATATGAGTGCTAATCCATTCGTAGGGTCCCAGATTTCGGGTCAAGACGGTCAGTCTCAGACGGCGTGCTTGTTCATTTGTGGCCTTCTGGTGCGAATTCAAGTTTCTCGGTACCCTCTAGCAAACTGACAGTCACGCGGCTCACAAAGCAAGCGGACAGCCTTACTCAAGGGTTACGTACTTCTCGTTAACTTTATTAATATCAATCGTGAACTTTCCTCAATACCTAATATAAATAGCCGACTCGGGCGGAAGGGGAAGTGACCTCCTGGAGTGAAGACGAGGAGGCTCCGAGCACCATCAGCTCGGCTCTGACGCGCGCCGCTGCGGTTTTTTTATACCCACTAATTAATTTATTTTTTTAATTATTGTAACTTTATTTTTTTTTGAAATATACATGTATGTATGACTGAGGTGTAAGTTGTTTTCCTCTAAGGAGTCCCGTAGGTTTCCCACACGCACACACTTCTGTTCTCTTACAAGGCGCCCTGAGGTAATCTCGTAAATCTCTCCACTGGGTTGGCCGGTGAGTAGTCCGCCTGACGGGAGGGGCGGCTACAAGTAACGGTAACAGTGTCGCGAGTTCAATGGTTTTTCCCAACTCAAAAAAAAACATTCTTTTGTTTGTTGTTCTAAAATGGCCGACGCGCCTAAAGAAGTTTTCACTTCAATAAATAATGATTACTACTGTAGCTTAATGAGCTACTTTAGCTGTGGTTTTTATATTATGTATATCTATTTTACAGACCATTGAAAAAAAGCTGTGTAAGACTAAATCTTGTGATCAAATTAATTAATACTAGCTCTTGCCCGTGGCTCCACCTGCGTGTATGTCGGTTATCGCAGTAAAGAGTACTTATGTTACTCGCTGAAAATGTAGCTTTCCATTGGTGAAAGAATTTTCAAAATCTGTTTATTTATTTTGGCGTGAAAGCGTTACAAACATACAAACAAACTCACTTTCACATTTTTTATATAAGTATGGATTAAACTAATCCAATTTTAAAAGTAAGATCTTATTTGCTGACGGTACTGAGCAGTTTCAACGGTTGACTTGCAACAGGCTATTCTGCGGTATCTCTCAGGACAAAATGTCTTGTTTCCACTCTCTTCATATTCATCGCCCTGTTTTCTATAGTTATGATTACGACCACTCCTGTTATCGGAAAACTTCATTTTAACAAGTTTAGAGTGTTTTCTTCTAGCATTTGTTGGTTTCTATCATACATTGTTGAAATGATTGACGGGCCTGTTGCCCTAGTGGTTAGTGACCCTGACTGCTGTGCCGGAGGTCGTGGGTTCGATTTCCATCCAGGACAAATAATTGTGTGATGAGCACGGTCATCTGTTCTGTGTCTGGGAAATATATAAGTATGTTTATCAGCAGTCTTGTTACCATAGCACAGGCTCTGCCAAGCTTGGGATCAGACGGCCGTGTGTGAAATGTGTAAAAATCTTATCACATTACATCAACAGCCTTTTCTAATCCAGTCCTGGACATAGGCCTCTCCTTAGGATGTTTTGGCCTACTATACCACGCTGGCCAGACGAATTCTCTCTACAGTGCTGTTGTCCTGCGTCCCTCCTTTAGTTGCTCCCTTAGTCGGCTCTTACGACACTCGCGGGGTGAATCGGGGTGGTGACACTCCGTATTCTTAATACGTCACCACACGGACGGAAAATAGAATAGAATAGTGGTAAGTAACCACTGGTATCCATTGACATCTGCAACTGAAAAGACACAAGTGTGTTATCGCCTTTTAAGTGCTCCTCCACCAGGGGAACAGGAACAGGGGAGGTGGAAATTTTGTTGGGAATTTTAGAACAACAAACAACAGAATGTATTTTTGAGATTGATTTTTGAAAATTAAAAAAAAAAACTGATATAATCAAAAAACATTAAATTTTCAAGTTTTCTCTTCTGTAGGCACTCCCGGAGTGCCACTGTTTTTTTTTTTAAAGACATCTCGCACATTAATTTGCTTTTGTGACTCCTGAGTTGCAGACGTTCATGGGCGGTAGTAGTCACTTTCCATCAGGTGACATGTCTGCTCGTCTGCCTCCTCTATCATACAAAAAACACACTAGGAACATATTATATCCCGTATGACGTGGAACTTCACATATGTACATACATGAAACGTACACTCAGACTCAGAACAATTTGTGGATCGCACAAAGTGTAGTCAGTACTTTTTAGTATCACCACTGATGAGCCACTGCCATTCCATTGCCACTGTAAAGACATTGAGTAAGTGTAGACTACCGATATTTATACCGATGCCAATGGCCACTCGATGGCATCTCAATAGCGTGTCAGTGGTATGACACTGGCTTGGCGTGAACATAAAATAGCAGAATTGAGGCCCTGTTGTGTCTACCTCCACACACCGGGACGTGTCTACTCCACTCATGTCCACATGCAATACAAGAGCCGCGACTGAGTTCCCGACCTTTGAGTATAAACAATTTTCTTCACATATTAATAAAAAGAATTACAGATAATAATAATCTGCATGTATCGTGTCCGTGTCCGTGTAGTGACGGATTAAGAATACGGAATTTCACTACCCCAATTGATCCCGTGGGTGTCGTAAGAGCCGATTAAGGGCACAAAACAACGCAGGACACCAGCACTGCAAAAAGAAGGAAAACTTGACAAAGACCCTATATCAACCCGTCTGGCCAGCGTC